ATCACCACCACCACTTCTACCACCACTACCACCACCACTAACACCACCACTACCATCACCATCATCATTTCTGTGATCATCATTTTTATCATTATCACCACAAAAAAATCAATATCATCATTACTCTTATCATAGTCGCTCTTACCATTATTTTCATCATCATTTTCAAACTCACCGAACATATATTAATAATTTAAAAGGTGAGAATGTGATGAACTTGAGTGATGATGAGGTTGATGGGTTACTCAAGAACACATTTCGTCCATGCAATGTTCTCATGACTGAGGCTGGTTTCTTCTTAGATTTGTTGTTTTTTTGATGTTGTTGTAGATGTTGTTGTTGTAGATATTGTTGTTGTAGACGTTGTTGTTGTAGACGTTGCTGTTAATGTTGTTGCTGTTTTTGCTATAATGTTGTTGCTGTTGCTTTAATATTATAATTGATGTGTTGTTGTTGATGTTTTTGTTGTAAATGTTGTTGTTGTAGATGATGTTGTTGTGGTTGAGGTTGTTGCTGCTTTGCCTTTGCTCTGATGTTGTTGCTATTGTTGCTGTTGTTGCTACATTGCTGTTGCCTTGGTGATGTAGCTGATGTGTTGTTGTAGATGTTGTTGTTGTAGATGTTGTTTTTGTTGTTGTTAATGTTGTTTCCGCTTTTGCTATGATGCTGTTGTTGCTTTGTTGTTGTTGCCTTGTTGTCATAGTCATAATGTTGTTGTTTTTGGCATAATGTTGTTAATGTTGTAGTTGCTGTGTTTTTAATGTTGTTGCTAAATTGTTGTTGATGTTTTTGTAGTTGTAATTTGTTTGGTTGTTTTTGTATGTACTTATAATAATAGCAGGAGTAGTTGTTAGCATGAGTTACTGTTGTGATATTGTCGATGATGTAATAATGTTTTTGTAGGTTGAAATTATTGTTGCCGTCATTATCACCCTTATCATATTTGCATCTGTCATTCATTATCATCATCTTCATCATCTTCATCGTCATCATCATCTTCATGACCGTCGTTGATACTCCCGTCACTAACTATCATCATCACTACCACACCACCACCACCACACCACCACCACTACCACCACACCACCACCACTAACACCACCACTGACGATCATCCAGGTGCACTACAGTCTGATCATCTACATACTGGGAATGATGTGGGTGGAGTGCAAGCAGTTGTACAAGGAGGGCATGAGGAGCTATCTGGCCGACAGCTACAACTGCATCGACTTCATCGTCCTCTCCCTCTACATCTCCTCGTACGTACTCAGAATCGTCGTCCAGTTCCATCTTAGCAGGGCCAATGAAAGTTTTGGCGACTTGGCGGCAAAGGCGGAAAAATACCTCCGTTCCGAGAACTTTGAAGCTTTCAAGAATTTGGTGGCCAGCACCTGTGAGGAGCCACTGAGCAGGGAGAAGTACTTCATGAGGACGTGTTAGATGGATTATTCAATTTCGTGAAATTTATAAGTATTCATGAGGACGTGTTAGATGGATTATTCAATTGCATGAAATTTATAAATAAAAAATAAATAAAAAAATTATAGAATCGAGTTTTTGTCATAATAAAATTATTGCAACAGTTCCAAACTGCATTTTGTCGTTTCAAGCTAATAAAGTGTAAATGTATTTTAAATTTCCAGCCAGGTTCGACTGGCAGATGAACGACCCGGAGATAGTCTCGGACATGTTGTTCGGACTGGCAAACGTTTGGAGCATCGCGAGGACGACCTACCTCATGCCTGCCTTCGAAGTCCTCGGTCCTCTGCAGATCGCACTTGGCAGGATGATGGGGGACATTGCCAAGGTGCTCGTCCTCTTTACCCTGGTTAGTGAAACTGTTTCGTTTTCTAATATTTCTTGCCCACTGACTTTCTATTAAGAAATTTATGCTATAAAGTCATTTTGATATCAAATTTAAAGATATCCAAGATAAAAATAATCTGAGGTACTTTCTGGCAATGATACTAATGTGGCCTGATATTCACTCTCCAAACCAACCACTCCAACCGTACCCCACCATCTGCCCCCACACTAGGTGCTGATGGCATTCATGGTGGGCCTGCACAATTTGTACTGCTACTACGGGTCGCAGACGTACAGACTGTTCAACAACGAAACCTTCAGAACCATCCATGCATCGGAAACATTTCAAAAGTTTTTGTTTGTTGATATCGTGGCGTTGCTGATGTCATCAAGTTGTTGTTGATGTCATTATGTTGTTGTTGACGTCATCATGTTGTTGTTGATGTCATCAAATTGTTGTTGACGTCATCAGGCTGTTGTTGATGTCATGATGTTGTTGTTGGTGTCACTAAGTTGTTTTTAATGACAATTGTGTCGTTTGAAGTGATTCAAATGAATTGGAAATATTTTTCACAATTAATATTGACCAAATGTCAAAACAACACGAAACCTGGCAGCCTCTGGCGAACGCTGCTGAATTTGTTCTGGTCGATGTTTGGAGTGGTGCCACTGGACAGCATCGCCATTAAGCATCCGTCTCAAATATATGGATCATTACCACAACACTCATTTTCGTCAACATCGTTATCGGCACCATCTTCATCGTTATCAGCACCACAGACGTTTATTACTGTAGCCAGTGCATTTGCGACACTGACGCAAACGACCCTGACTCCTCATCCGACTCTGAGATCGTTGTCATCATCATCGGTCGATATTTTGTCATCATCGCCATCCTTGTCTTCATTTTCTCCATCCCCATTCAGTTCTTCACCCTTATATTTACCATTTAAACCACCATCACCACCTTCCTTATTTACATCCGCCCATGCAAACGCCACACCTCCTGCGCCGTCAATCCCACCCCTACCCTTATCATTGCCGTTGTTATCACCATCATTTCAATCATCATCATTTTCCAAATCATCAAAATCTTTCTCAAAGTCGTCATCCTCATCATCATCATCATCATCATCGTGGTCTTCGTCTTCGTCATTGTCCTGGTCATCCCCAAGCGATGCATCTCTGGCGAGCCATCCGGGCTCCACTATTATAGTTGAGGGGGTGGGTCTGTTTTTGTTCGCCCTCTATCACGTGACCGTCATCATCGTTCTGGTCAACATGCTCATCGCTATGATGAGTCACTCATTTGAAGCTATTCAGGTCATTATTATGATGGTGGTGAAGATAATATAGTGATGATAATGATGATGATGATGATGATGATGGTGACGACGACGATGATGATGATTGTGAAATTTGGATACAACGAACAAGCTTTGGTTAATTCATCCCCTAACTACATAACTCCATGAATGCATACATGTATGCCAAATCAAATTTACATGCACACACACACACACACCTACACACACACACACCTACACACACCGCACACATACTCAAACCTACACAAACACGCACACAAACACGCACACAAACACGCACACACACACCATGCCACACACGCACGCAGGGAGATTGTGACGTCGAGTGGAAGTTTGCTCGGACGAAGCTCTGGATGAGTTACATAATCGTGGAGGACACCCTTCCCATCCCCTTCAATATGCTGCCCACCCTCGACGCTCTCAAGTCCTGTTGTGGCGGCTTCTTGAGCCACATAAGAGGGTTCAACGGGGTCGGTAAGCGGTTTTTTAACCGACAACAATATCGGTCCGTTAAAAGGGATAACGATGATAACGATGTTGTTGATGACAATGATGGTGATGATGATGGTGATGATGATAGTGGTAGCATCGTAGGTGAGGAGACGTGTGTCACCTCTACTGATCTTGATAATGATGACGATGGTGGTGGTGGCGGTAATAAATTTGGAAAGAAGAAAAATACTGATGCTGATGATGATCCTAGCGTTCATGATGATGACGATGCTAAAATAGATGCAGCTGAAGACAATGAAAACATGATGATGATGATGACAGATGAGGATGGCCGTGCTGATGATGATGATGCCCAGAAGATTAAAAGTAAATCACTGTACAAGGTTGTGATGTTGATCTGCATGCTGGCATTAAGTTGATGTACGTACCAAATCCATAACAATCATAGTTATTATTATTATTGTCATTATTATGTTGGTTTATAATGTCAGCGTATATACAAGAATTTGGTTAGAAATATTGAGAAATGTAATAAAAAACTATCCAACGCCAGAAATTCGGTAGATTTAATAAATTATTGAATTAATTATGATCTTTTACCAGAATATAGTCAAAATGTTACAAGTAATATGTCAGAAAAAATTAATCCTGAGAACCAAAAGGTTACGCACAACCTGAAATATGCCTGAGTCCGAAAACGCTCATCAATGCTTATCATCAATTTCTATCGCGTCCTATGCATAGCTCCAGGGGCGCTTGGATGATCAATGACTTTTGACGTTTCCCAAGGGCTGAATTAACAAAAATTGCTTCAATCATTTCCTGGAAAGTCTGATTAGTGGTTGTTGATGGTGGCAAGCCATTCCATGTGACAACTGATAAATCGCTCTCAGTGAATTAATGCAAACGGCAGCTTTCACGTTTTTCGCTGGAAGTAACACGGTGAGAATGATAGACTGAATCTCCCAAGAGAGCCAAACTTGATTGTAACTTGATTGTTGAATTGTAGCTGTAGTTAAAATTATTGGTGGAACAAAACCGTTGAAAATAAAATTCATATTGGTTTCTATGACGATGGTATTATATTAAAAATAAAAATTATATAACAAATCACAAAAAAAATTTAGCGAGTTAATTCAAACGCTGAACTGCCACGTCTACAAGTTAGTCGTTGGAAGTGCCTTGTCACACGCTGTTATTAGAGCGTGGCTTTATTCGAATGCTGCCTGCCTGAAACTCGAAAACTATCATGCGCCATGGTGTGTATGACGCGGTGCTTTCGAGTGCATACCAACTATGTGTACTTAACCTGTAACTATAGAAGACTGGTGGCTGAGCAGTTAGAGCTACATATCAAAAAATGAAAATGTCTCGGTGATCTCTTTTAAATGTCTTCAAAGTCATAAACATCTGTGTATGTGCATAAAGCGAAATGAAACGTTCAATTGCTTCCAAGTAAGCAGCTCTGAATTTGAGGAAACTGCGTAATGTATAGAAAATATCATTCGTTATCCAGATTTGGCACATCATTTAAAATACTACCTGCACCATTATTACGTAATTTGTATTCAAGTCAACAAACTGAATCTAATTATTTCATACAGAAGAACACGTTGAACAAGCAGCAACAAATTCAACAGCAACAAAAACGGCAACAACGGTTCCATCATCTCAAGCAACAACAACAACACCATCTACAACAACACCATCAACAACAACAGCAACCCCATCAGCAGCAACAACAACAACACGAGAACAACATTCAACTGTCCAGCGATCAACAGCGCCAATCTCAACAACTTAAACAACAGCAACAACAACATCATCATCACCACCTGCATCATCATCACCACCACCACAGGCGCCACGGCAAACTTCATCACACGACGAACGCTGACATCTTACAGCGACTTGTCAGGAGGTACCTCTTCAAGCTGGAGAGGATGAAGGATGAAAGTCTGTTTTCATTCATTTAATCACTCACTTGCTCATTCATTCATCCAAAAACTCAGTCGTTCGTTCGTTCGTTCGTCTGTTCGTTCGTTCGTCCATTTGTTCATTCCTTCACCAATTAATTCATTTATTTTTCTATTTATTATTATTACTTCGTTAATCAAATTAAAGTCTCATTTTAAAATTATTATCATTCAGAATCAATCTCACAACATTATTGGTAAATTGTCACCAAATTCATTCGAAGATTTGAACTATAGAAACAAACAAACGAGTGAAGTTAATGTTCGAACGTTAATAAAGCAGAATGGTAGTTCTTTGTGATAAAATTGAAAAATATTTGTTGTAGTAAAGAAGACCAACATGTTCTTACATTTGGCAAAATAAACTCATTTTGAAGGCTAATCAATGGTTTTGAATATTTTGTTTAAAATGATGGCGTTATTACCAATATTATTTTTTTACAATTTTTAATAACTATACATTCAGCAAATATATATCAAAAAAACTAAGTAAATAACCACCACCATGTCCATCTCGGTGACCATGTGCATCACTATGACCACAACCACCATCACGACCACCACCACCACGACCACCACCACGACCACCATGACCACCACAACCACTACGGTCAAGCAGATAGGGACCCTACCCGATCGACCTCTGAGATGACCTCCAGCATCACTTACGTTCCCGACTATGCAAAAGACAGGAAAGAGTCAGGTTAGTGTTGAATGAACTTTTGTGACGTACGCTTCGTTGCATTCTATCATGTTCTGTATAACTCTATAAATGTTCTCAAGTTGTATGAACGAACTTTTACAACGAGTGTGTATTATATTAGTAACGACAAAACACAAATCGAAATAGCACAAGGCAGGCAACTTCACAAATGCCTCAAATTGTTCATAATCTCAAAAACGCTCTAACATAATAATATACAGACACACTTGCCTAATGATTTCTACATCAACCACACGCAGATGCAAAACGTAAAACAACGCAATCAAGTTTTGGAAGCAACCAAAGTCTGGTCTTCAACTTCTCGCCATCATCACTTGTTTTCACGCAGCAACACGGCGGCGGCAGCTCCAAGCCGCAACGAACACGACCTCCATCCATTCGTCGTCGTCGTCAGCAACATGTTTCCTGTCAGCAACTCTATCAACTCAACTTGCAAGAATATCAGGAATCATCTGAGCAGGAGCAACCACAACAACAGCAACACCAACCACAACATCATCTGTCGCAGCAATTACAACAACAATTACATCAACAAAAACATTATTCGCAAGAGCAACATAGAGAACAAAATGACCTACCAAAACAACCGCAACAACAGTACACCCAGTTAGAACAGCCGCCCAAACGACGATCCATAAAAAATAATTCAACTGGATATCAGCCTCTGTCAACGCCATCATCGGCCACAACATCAGCAGCACGGGCAACAACATCAGCAGCCCGGACAACAACATCATCTCTCGCTACGGAAACAAGTGCTCGCTCAATGGCAACCATAACACCACCATCACCGACAACAACAATATCTCCACCAACCACAACAACTCAACAACAAATTCCAATAATTCAGCAAACAACAACGGCGACTCCATCACCAAAATCAGAAGCAGCGGGACCTCCCTATCGTCGCAACCGCCCACTGAAAAAACAAAAATCCAGTCTGTCTCCCTCCCCTTCTCCAAGCCTCTCCCCCCGATCCCCCCTCTCTCCCACCACCTCTATCCACCTCATGTCTCTCCCCAGAATCGAGGCAATCATCAAAAACATCAACCTCTTCCAGGTGAGATTGAGTCACGTGAGGGCTATAACAACCAGGAGGGATGTCTTGAGGGATGACATCAAGCATGTCAAGAGGTCAGTGTGTGTGTGTGTGTGTGTATGTGTGTGTGTTTGTGTATGTGGTGCGCGTGTGTGTGTAAACGCGCGCAGGTGTGTGTGCTTTGGCATGCATATGTTTATTTGTGTGATTATGTGATTATTACAAATTCAATTTTTAGATTTTTAGACGTGCAAATTAGTGAATTTTATGCGTCAATTGATTTAGTGGCTGCGGTTTCTTTTGTTAACTTCGACGAATGTTATTATCCATCAAATTCATTTATATTTTTAATAGTTTATAGAAATGTTTTCATGTTCTTATTGAAGATTACTGTTGGAGAATTGCAAGGCACTGCTGTCCGTCCTGTCTGTTCTTGAGTCCATACGAGTCGAAGTGAAGTGTCTCGAGACCATCGCGAGACTGAAACGAGAGAACATGATGAAGAAATGAGAGGGAGTAATTTAATTTTGAACTAATTTTCTTTTGTTTGATGGTTTAATGAAGTTGTCGTTGTTTGTTGTTGTTATTGTTGTTGCTGTTGTTAATGTTTGTTGTTGTTTGTCATTGTTGTTGTTAAATTGCTGGGAACCAACATTTCTGCAAAAAGCATTTTAAATTGTGGACCTGAATGCAAACGAAAGAAGAAGATAATAAATGTCTTTGAACTCAAAACTTTGTTTAAATATCATTTTTTTTAAATTGTCCAATTATATAAATTGTATATTGATTATATCAACTATACCAATTATATAATTGTGTATACCTTGTATTGACAATAGGAAGTTTCTTGCTGGTATGAAAGGATATATGTTTGTAGCAACGTTTATGTCGCTCTCGATGGGATTCCTCAAAGAACTTGCGAACGAACTTTTAAAATTTGATGAGAGACGAGGGGTTGTTTGCTTTTGAAATTTTTATTTTTTGAAAATGCATTTGAAGAAAAAGGTTCTGAAAAGCAATCAAGCTCTTTCTTGGTGTTCCTAAATGTGTTTCTGTAGGATTTTGAACTAAAGCATTTCTTCACAATTGAAAGTTTTTAAATTGTTCATCTGTTGTTTTGCATGTTATAACTTTAATAAGACTCCAACCAGAAATATTATTTTAAGGGATATGTATTTAGTGCAATCGATCAAACGATGCACAGTGTTAGATTTGTATTTGCATGTGCTGGAAGAAGTTTCAAATATTGGAATGTTATTTAAATATACCCATGTTGTATTGTATACATGTGTGTATTGTAGACATGTGTGTATTGTATACATGTGTGTATTGTATACATGTGTGTATTGTATACATGTGTGTATTGTGTACATGTTTGTATTTTACACATGTGTGTGCGTATTGTTTGTTGAGAGTGTTTGAAACAACTGAAAACAATTGAAAAGCCTTGCAAATTATTCTAGGGGCACTTCAACGACAGCGTTTCAATGATGCGAATAATAAAGATTATTAATGAGTTCGTAATCACAAAATCTGTCTGAAATATACAAATAGAAAGTGAACAACTATGTTGTGCGCAATAAACATTTTGTCATAACAACGCAGTAAACAAATAAATATAAACAAATAAATATAAATCTAGTGAAATCTATTGTATCAACAATTTTCACAAGCAAATTTAATCACCAGCTATGTAAATATCTTACTTCTCCTCCTGATTAGATTATGTATGAAATAAAAAATAGGATGAGAGTCAGAGAAGCAAGCACAGAACAAGCAGTTTTATACAAATGCTTTTCTCACTGTAACAAAAATCAGTTCATTCTTGGAAATTTATCAAATTATCTTTTTTTTATATCTCATTATGACCTCATTCATTCACTCATGCATTTTCTTGCCCATTAATTTTACTGTCATATAAGTTGAACCTACATTACACACTAGCAGTGACTTATCAAATGCATACAAAATGGTTAAGTAGACATTTGCATAGTTTCAGTTTCTATGTATGCAGGTTGCAGTAGTGAGTGAGAATTTGATGTTCAACTGTCGTAAATATAAAACTATGGGAAAATCAAAAATTTTTATTCAAAATTCATTTGCGCTTTTTAACTCAATGCAAAATGCATAGAGAACCAAGCCTATATAGACGCATACAGGAACAAGCCTAAAGACGCAAATATAAAAAAATCAATAACAAAAAACCAAGTTCATTTCCGTTCGTTAATTTAAATAAATAATTCACAAATAATCAACAAAACTGAAAAGAATTAAATGTCATGAACCAGAATTTTGTATTGTGACAACCTCGTAAATTTTGTCATGTCCATCTTCATCATCCTTTTCATCTTGGTCATAAAGATTTTTATACTTCAATCACACGGCCATAAAATAGTTAATTAACATTTACAACTGAATCTTTTAAATATTATTATTATTATCATCATCTTTCATCATTATCGTCGTCGTCGGTATCATCCTTCCCACCATCATCGTCAACTACAACATGGTCAGAAATCATCAACAACACCAACAGTTCCCTCCATAGTCGCCGTTAGCATCATCGTTAACAACCAACTTCAAGTTTGAAAAAATCATAATTTTCTCGCTTCTGACAAAACTTTTTTTGACACCTCTTTCAACGAAATCATTATCATTTTAAAGATCATGAACTAAACCATTTAATCACTATCATTATCACACCCTTTCAAGTTAGAAACAAGTCATCGCCATTCCATTACCATCATCATTTTTATCATTGGTATCATCATTCTGGATTTTTCTTTTTTTTTTAAATCATTATTAGCGTAGATATCATCTGATCGTCATACCTATCAAAAACCTCATTATGACTTCCTATTACAGTAACATCACATCATCTTATCGCATCATCACCATATCACATCATGTCATAAAACACATCACATCATGTCATCACCATATCACATCATGTCATCACCACATTTCATAATCCCATCACCACTTTGAATCCCCACACCACATCATGTCGTCATCACATGGACTCGAAGAGCTCCACCCTGATCTTGGTATTACCCTGCCTCAACTCCTTCAGCGTTTTGTACTTGTCCCTCCCCTGAGACGCGTTCAGCCTATAAATGAGGTCGTTGCGAGTCAACTCACCCTGTTCGGTCTTCTTCAGCGACTCTCTCAACTCCTAAAGAGATTTCAACATTTTTTGTTTTAGTCATTTTAATGTTTCATCAATATTTATACTATGTTGCTATTTTAAAGTAGTCTCAATATTTTGCAGTGTTTTATTTTAATATTTCGGGAGCATGTTTTTATAAAGGTTCATAAGCAATTTATAAATTTCTTTATGTATTTATTTATTTATAATTTATTAAATTTTAACATGTGAATAAAGTGTCTGTAATTAAACCGATCATCTTGCCACATCGTACGTAATCATATTACGCCTATGAAAACACACATATACATACATATATTTTTCCATCATTTTAACATTCATATTGAAATATTTAGTATAAAGCTCCTTAGCATGTTCCATTCCAGAAAAATAGATCTATGCCAAACCTTTCATTATAAACAATGAAAAAATACTTTTGATTTATTTTCATTTAATTATGATAATTTTTATTATTTGCATAACAGTTTAGGTTAATTTCAATTCTTACAAATTTTATCAGCACGATGAATATATCGCAAATGAGAAGAGAATGAGATAGGCCGCGCGTTGAAAGCCACGCATCCTGATAGACAGCAGTCAATCAACAGGACTCTATTTATATGCACACTTGAGTCTCTTTTTATCTACCTTGCAAATATTTCTACACATGAAGTTATCTCTAATCAAACGGCATGAATAGCAGTTAAATGTCAAGTCGATGTTACGATTATTTTATCATTCGTTTATCTTCTTCTTCACTTAAATCTGCACTTGGTATTAATTCGAAAGTTACTACGACTACTGCCACACAATCAGAAGGTGTACTGCTACTTACAAAGTTTCACATCTTTCATCATAACCACTTAACAACGACAACATTATCGCCATTGATATTTCCATCGTTATCAAAAACAACATCAGCAACAAAGTCGTCATCATCATCATCATCAATAATATCATCATCTTCTTCTTCCAAACCTTCAGTTTTCTGCTGATTTCAAGATTTTTATCGATTTCAGGCACCTTGTTAAGTTCGGCCTCGTCCATCGGCATCATATCTATCAGAAGAACTTCACCTTGGAATTGAAAGTATAGATGGATGAATAAATGAATGGCTGATTGGTTGTATGATTGATTAATTGATTTGTTGATTTACTGATTGATTGATTAGTTTATAGATTTGTTTGTTGGTTCTTTTGTTAGTTGATTAGTTTGTTAGTTGGGAGGTTGGTTGGTTAGTTGATTGATAAGTAGGTAGGCCGTTTAGTTGAACTAATAAATGAAGCGTTCAATCAGTAGCTGACTTTTCAAAATTATTTCTACGGTTTCTTAACGGTAAAAATTGGTTGCATTTAATTGACGGGTGTTGCGTCACGTTACTACAGTGGCGAAACGCGAGATTCGATTTCAAAAGTGTCCACATGTTGTTGTGTATGTTTTTTTTTATCGTTTGGTTATTTTCAGCATTAAAATATTCTGCTAGCCGATGGAGGGGAATGCTTCTAACAAAAATATTGTATTATTAAAATCAAATTGAAAAGTTGCAAACCTAAATATAACCGTCTTAGCTTATATTAAAACAAAATAAATGAATTTGGATTTAATTTTGTGACTCAAAAATGGTTTGTTAGACGCTGAGATTAAGCTTGGAAGATGGAAAAATTTCTCAGTGGGCTAAATGATGCAGAAAGACAACACTGATGCAGATTTAATAGAAGACCGATCTGCTTCTCCCACCTGTGATTAGATCTAGCAAATATTTAATACACGGAGTTCATGGAGTTACAAATTTTCGTATTTCTTACAGTTTTGTTTCATTTTTAAATCTCACAATCGACATGCCGTTTTTGAAATTGAGAATTTTGATGATAAATTTTGGAAGCCGCCATTGCACGCAATCTACGCTGTTTATCATTTTACAATTTTAAATTGAAGTCCCACGGTACACAAACTAGAAAAAAGTGTGCACAGGTTTTCTACAATTATTTTGCTTAACACAAATTTTTTTTATTAAGCGATTGGATGATTGATTGACAGCTGCTTGATTGACAGCAGTTTGATTGACAGCAACTTGATTGACAGCTGCTTGATTGACAAATTGTTGATTAAATGATTGATAAAAAATGTTTGATTAATTTATGAGGAAGAATGACTAATAAACGGTTGAAATATTGAATGCCTGCGGCTAATTGGTAACTTGATGTAGTATAAAATTGCTTGATCGGTTGCAGATTTGGAATTAATTTTTTTAATTGGATGATAATAATAATTATTAATACTACTATTTCATGATTGAATGAATATTGTGTGTCTGTTGGCAGAATGATTTATTGATTTTTTTAAATGGCGAATAAATTAATTGATTGATTTGTTAAAGGTCAATCTCTCTCTTGCGCTTGCTGCAGATGTATCAACGACAAACACACACAGCGTAGATGAATAGGCGTGAAAACCAGGCATCACACATTGCGTGTGACATGCTGGAATCTCTTCGCATTCGAATCCAGTCACTGCAACAGCAGATCCAGGCGCCTTTAAGCATTTAGCCATCACGCCGCATAGTTGATGGTAGGCCGGAAATTTATTTTTTGTCTCAATATTTTGCTTGAAAAGTTGAAGGTAAACTTTTATATTAGTTAGTTATTTGTGTGCGAATGGCGAGTAGGTATATTGTGTATGTGTGCAAATTGTGTGTGTGTACGTGTATTTGTGGTTGTATGCGCGTATGTGTGCCGCGGTGCATTCAACGGATATATTTGTACATGTACACTCAATCAATAAGCGAACAACAGTGCACACTATAATAATACATACTTGTTTGAACACAAAAAAAAACATAAGTCCACGAACGAAAACATCTACACACATGCACAAACTTATATCCATACATACATTAAACAGAAATACCATCCACACACATACACACAAAAATACAATATTATATCTATATTTATATTCATGAATTTTTAATCTTCAACGAGTTTAAATTTCAAGAACAATGTGAGTAACTATGGTGATTATGTTGGTAGAGTGTAAATATGTGGGTATGTATGTGCGTGTGTATGTATGCATGTAAACTAATATGTAAGTAAATACGTATGCATCATGTATGTATATATGCATATTTGTATTATTATATGTCCGTGTACGTATGATAAGGCGTTATACAACAAAATTGTAAGCCAGCGACAGAATGTAGAGAATTTTAGAATTAAGTTGGTGTTGAATATGATAATCTAAACAATTTTTCGTCGTAGTTAATGCAATGAAATGAATTTAACTGATTAGAAGTTGAATTCTTACTTCTTTTATTCATGCTGGTATTATGTTCACGGACCTCGTCAACTTCAACCTTGACCTCTGCCCTATGTTCATCCTCACTATCGGAACTGCTCTTTGAACTAGAAGATAAACTCGAAGATTTTTTTCCCTTGTTGCTTGTGTCAGCGATGATGAAGTAATTGGTCACGTTGTTGTTGTCGATGTCGTTCGTATCTGCAGCTGTGGTGGTTGTTGTCGTGATGACCACTTGTTCGTACACTGCGTCAGAGATGCGTCGTATCTGACCCGTGTGGCAGGCAGCAAAATTATTCCATTACGTATTAATTTGACAGCATAAGTATGTTTAACAGCACTAAATACAAAACTAAGTAACTTGAAAAAACATTATCATAAATATTAAAGTTAAAGAATTTGTCGTTAGAAACAGAAAAACCAATAAGAATTTAAAATCTTCAATTGAATCAGAGGCAAGATGTGAGTAACACAATCACAATGATTTTAATAACAGATGACACTGCAGATTAGAACGGCAACAAGGGCAACCTTCTGCTCTTCCTCGTTTACGTCACTCAATGCCTTGATCCTCTCAAGCTCCATGGTCAGTCTTCGAGTTTCCTCTTCCTTCTCTTCCACTTCCTCCATCTTCCTTCTCAACAACTCCTCCGTTTCGAGCGCTTGTTGCTCCTGAAATTGTTTTGTTGTCGTTGGTTGCTTTTTACGGGGTGTTGTTTTTAATGTTGTTGTTCTTTATGGTGTGTTGTTTGTAATGTTGTAGTTGTTCTTGTGGTTGATGTAGTGATGATGTTTTTGATGAAATGAAGTTAGGTGAGTTTGTTAGATGCTGACGTTGAAGTTGAAACAATGGTGGCAAATGCATAGAAAATACGGAAGTTACGGAAAACAAACGATCAACGATCGGAAAACAAACGATCAACAACAATAATTCAAACAAATGTAGAAGAACCATCAAATTACTAACACCAATATATAATAAACATTATTATCATCAACCACATCATCATTATTGTTATCATTAACAACGGTAACTGTGTTATCATCGCCACTTAAATCAGCATCATCGCCAACAACAACAACCTTCAAATACTTTTCAGCTTTTTCAGCATCTGCAGCCAGCTCAGCAGCTATCCTGGCTTCCTCAGCCCTTCTCCGTGCCTCCTCCAACTCACGCCTCATCATCTCGATTTCCATCAACCTCCTCTCCTTTTCCTCTGCTTCTCTCTGCAATTTCTCGTAACCTGTTGATGTGATGATGTTGATGTAATAATGTTGATGAAATGATGTAATGGTATTTATTTCTATATATTGCATGAAGTAATACTACGTGCACAACGAGGTGATTTCTATTTTAACGTGAATGTATACAGAAAAAACACTGGGCACATGAATACCTTGCGTTTCAAAACTGATACAAAAACACGGGATACATGTCCAACCGACCAACCAACCAATCGACCAACCGACCAACCAACCGACCAGCCAGCCAACAAACCTTCCCTAGAGATAGCCATTTCCTTCTCATAATCCTGCACCCTAATTTTCATCATGGTCATGGCCTTCTCCATCTCGTCTCTCATTTCCTTTTCTCTCAACAATGTCCTCCTGTTTGGTCACGTGCGGTCACGTGAGCGTTAGTAAGAACAATCATCATCATGAGTATTCTTATCATAATAATAATATGAGCATTTATATAGCGCCGATTCGCACAGCTGCTTCAAAAGCACCCAAAGCCCGTGTGTAAAAAATGAATCTTTAGACCTTTTTAAAGACGCTCAATTGTCTCAATTCAAGAGGTAACGTATTTCAGACATTTGGAGCGACGTGACGAAAGCCACGGCTAGCGAGATGTGATTTGGCAATACGAATGTTTAAGAAACCCGTAGAGATTGCGCGGAGCAATCTGGCAAGTTCTTGGCGGGATATGAAATAGTAAGGGGAAGCTGGGAATTTGATGATAATGTTTTGAAAATTAGAACTGCAATTTTGAAAATGATTCAAGCAGAGGTGGGAAGCCAATGAAGCATTGGAAAGAATGGAAGAGCTGAAACGAGAAGGTTTATTGAAGATCAGTCGAGCGGTCTTTTTCTAGATAGTCTGCAGCCTCCAGAGGGATGTGCTTGAGGCACTGTATAGGAAGGTGCTATGGTAGTCCAATTTGGAAAGAACCAGACACCCACCATGGCAAGCGACAACCTCAGACGTAATTGCATGTCTAACGTTTTTTAATGCACTGAAATGGTAGTTGCCGATTTCGGCTACGTGTTTGTCTTAATTTAAAAACTGGTCAAACGTCACAGCGAGCAACTTGATTTTGTGATTGGTAGCGCAGATCCGGCTATGTCCAGTGCCTCAAGCGACAACTTTGACATTTGTTGATGTTGATGCGTTCCAGCGGGCAATGTTTCTGATTTGTGAGAGTTAAGTTTTTTGAATACCACTGATGAACCTCGCTTGTGCAGGCCGCCGTCGAGATTATCCAAGGTGACCGGGGTAAGTACAAGTGCGTGTCATCGGCATGGAGATGAAAAAATATTCCGGATTTACTGAAAATGTCATAAATTGGAGAAGAGGATAGAGCCGAGAATGGAGCTCTGAGGGAAGCCGGTGTCAAGGAAGGAGTTATTATCATTCCGATCATTTTCGCCACCACTATCATCATTATCATCATCATTGTCGTCGTCATGATTCCCATGTCATCATCGTCATTATCATCATTACTGCTGTTGTGGTCATCATCGTCGCCATCGTTGTCGTCGTCATCATCATTGCCATTATTATTATAATCATTATCATCATCAAAATAGTACAACCTGATTTCATTCCTTCGTTCATTTTCCTCCTGCACCTCCTTCTTCATCTGGGTGACCTCCGGAGATTCCGTCTTCCTTCTCCTCTGGTACATCTCACTGTTCCCCCTGCACAGGTTCAATATCTTTTCATTTGTCTGAGCCTTGTTTGTCAAGAACTTGAAAGGCTGTGTGTGTGTGAATGTGTGTGTGAGTGTACGAGTGTGTTAATGTATGTGCATTTCTGTAGATGTGTAAATGTCTGTGTGTGAGTATATGTGTATTCCTGTAGATGTAGGTGTTGAGCGACCTCCCACCCACCACACCTACAGTAAGCCCATCATATTTGTACTCTTTCGACCACACGGGTACATACAACATAGTAAAACACGACACACATCCACACCACACGACAACATCCACACCACACAACACACATCCACACCACACGACAACAACATCCGCTCACAGGAGCCTTAGGATCCACAGACTTCACGGTAAACTTTTTCCCGCTGTACGAAACGTTCTTTATATCGCTCCATGGAAAGCCGATTTTCGGAGTCAGTCTGTAATAATTGCAGTATTGTAAAAGGAATAAAAATAACGACATTATTATTATTATTATTATTGTTGTTGTTGCTGTTGTTATTTTTTGTCATTATCGTTATAATCCATTGCAACTAAAACATCATTAACAACACCATTTTTTCTACCTAAACCTCATCATCACCATCGTCATCACAAACACCATCTTCTTCCCACCACCACCACTACCACCATCACCACCACCACCACCGACATCACGTGACCTGTCATCGTGTCCATAGATATTCATTCCGAGTGCGTCGACACCCAGCCAGAGTTTGGAACCCTTGTTGTTGGTGATCTCGAAGTAGTTCACCCCGTACTGTTCAAGGTCCTGCGCTATTTTCAAGTACTCCTCCACCGCCTGCTCTCTGGCGGGAAAATTTTGCGGGAAATTCTTATGTATTACTTAGTAATACTTAGTATTACATAGTATTACTTAGTATTACATGATATTACTCTGTATTATTTTGTATTCCTTATTACTAAAGCTACTTAGATTTACTTAGCATTACTTAATATTGCTTAGTAACACTTAATATTACATTGTATTACTTTGTACTGATTAGTATCACTTAATATTACGTTGTATTACTTTGTATTGATTAGTATTTTTTAGTATTACTTAGTATTCCTGGTATCGTTTTACACAACAACAACGGTTGTGTTAAAAAAAGTCGCGATACTATCACTATCTTTCTTTCTTTTTAGTTATTATTTTTACGGCCACGCTTACTACTACTACTTCTTCTTTAACTACTCTACATCTACTACTATTACCACCACCATTACTACTACTACTACTGCTGCAACTACTACTACTACTACTATTACTACTATTATTACAACTACTACTACCACCACCATTACTGCTACTATTACTACTACTACTGCTGCTACTACTACTACCAATGTTGCCAAAGTTACTTCTACAACTAATTATATAAGAGTTACTACTACTATTACTAAGAATAATAAAATAATAATAATAATAAAAATAAATTAAATAAAAGTAATTATAACAACCATATACAACAGTACGAACGAAACAAGAGCAGAACAGCTGAATATATTGGTACATACTTGTACATTCCTCTGTGCTGGGAGTACCAGGTCAGTATCTGCTCGTCCCAATCCGCCTTCGTCAGTGTATGCTGTTTGATGATCCTGAAAGTGATGTTTTTTTTATATTATTGTTATTATCTCTATTATTATTATTCCTTTAATTACATAATAAAATAAACACTTATTATTCTATGTTTATCATTAAATTTGATTGATAACGCCAAAATAATAAGAACGATTGAACCCCAATTGAACAATTGAACCAGCCCCTCTAGAATGTACTCACTCGCAGTAACGAGCATTTTAAATTGATAGGATTTTATAATTATTTCATTATTGATATTTGGTATTTGGAATTAGAAAATAAAACGATGTTCTCATTATTATCATCATTATCATCAACATCATCATTATTATTATTATTAATATTATTATTATCGTATGACATTTACTGTGACAGGAACAAGCTATGATGCTAATTAAATATATTTCACCGTTTTGCACTTAACTTCACAATGAGCAAAATGGTCTTAACCTTTAATGTTATTTTATACAATTTTTAAAAATTTTATCATTGCGCATTATTTAATTAACATTAACTTGTATATATATATTTTTTTATCATTGTATGTTTTTTTATGGTGAAAAATAAAAGATGTTCCCATTATTGTTATATTTATTTGATATATTGTTATAGGCAATTACCACTAAATAACACAAACGTCATCACATTTTTTTTGAATTATTATTATTATTGTATTTCATTAATAATAATAATAATATTATTATTATTATTTGTCTTTAATTTATTTTATATGTTATTAAAGGTAATAACAGAAACGTCACAGCGATTTTTACACTTTTTTTAAATCAATTATTAATCAAAAAACAAAAATCTTTCTTCGCGGTAAACGAATTTAACGGTTAATTACACTCGTAAATGAATACATGCTAAATGACGCAACACACACAAAGCATGTGATAGTCTTTTTGTCATATTCGAACCCGGTTACTGCGAAACAACACCAGGCGACCTTAACCATTAGACCATCACGCCACTCATTGTGGTAGCAATTATCGTCCGTTATTATCCCCATGACGAGTTCGTCAACAACATTATCAACAACATTTTTCTTATCATTAACGTCACTCTATTTAAAACACCATTCACCATCGAAGCAGCATCACCATTATTATTATTATTATATATTGTTGTTGTTGTTGTTATTACTATCACTATTATAAAATTAGCAGTAGTAGCAGTAGTAGTTGTTGTTGTATTAGTTGTAGTAGTAGTAGCAATAGTAGTATTAGTAATAGTATTAGTAGTATTATTATTTGTAGTAGTAGTTGTTGTTGTTGTAGTAGTTGTAGTAGCAATAGTAGTATTAGTAATAGTATTAGTAGTAGTAGTAGTTGTTGTTGTAGTTGTAGAGTAGTTAAAAAAGAAGTAGTAGTAGTAATCGTTGCAGTAGAAAAAATAGTTGAAAAGAAAGAAAGATAGTGATAGTATTGATAGTATTGTTGTTGTTTTAATTTTTTATTATAACCGTTATTGTTGTATGTAACGGTACCAGGAATACTAAAGAATACTAATAAGTTCTACTAAGTAATATTAAGTGATACCAAGCAATGCAAGATAATACTAAAAAATGCTAAGTAAATCTAGGCAATATTAAGCAATAATACTAAGAAAGAATGAGAGTAATACTATGTTATACTAAGTAATACTATGTTATACTAAGTAATACTATGTAATACTAAGTAATACAAAGTGATACTTAGAAATTGCCCGCAAATTTTTTCCGCCAAATCGTAATCACACCACAGCCACCACACCACCCTCATGACGTGACCTGGTTGGCAGAAGATGATCCTTCGCAAACATCTCCACGGTATGAATGTTGGGGTCGAAGTCGTCGAAGGTGGCCTGCAGGGCATAGGAGGCGAGGAGGACTGCTGTCTCCGGTGGACAATAATACTCGTCGTTCAAGATGGAGTTTTTGACTTGTTGGAAGAATATCATCTGATCAGATGGGTGTGTTGGTAGGTGGGTGGGTATGTGGATGTTGCTGTTGGTGGGTGTGTGGGTATGTGGATGTTGCTGTTGGTGGTGGTTCATTGCTTGTAAGCTAGACATGGGTAACGCCATCATGCTAATCTATTACTTACAAATGCATATTAGAAGTGCTACAGCATTTGTACACACGTACCACACCACATCCGCCACGTGACATCTCGCCACACAAAAAACCACACCACACACATCATACCACAAAAACAATTCTCACCTTTGTGATTGGTTGAATGAGTTCAGTAGCCACATCTTCCGGATAGTACTTGATCAGGAAGTTGAACTTTAGAGGGGATGACTGCTTTACCTGCTTCACCACCTGAGGTCAACAATTTTCTTCACATTCAATATTAGTCCCATAAATATTATTTTTCATTTAAAAATATTAAATTCAATTTGGTACATTTTACGCAGTTGATCCCCCAATTTGCACGCATTTTTTTCTTGTCACAAGTTTCCTCGATAAATTAATGAAAAGGTTTAATTTTCTTATTTTAGCAGTAACAACATGGCCACTATCATCATCTTCATCGCCACAATAATAATCATCAACAACTATTAACCAGTTATTTATGTGACGGATATATTAATGAATTAATAAACAAACAAATAAAAAAATAATTAACAATTCAACAAAAGAAAGAAAGAATTATTTAATTAAAAAATTAATTAATTAATTAATTAAACCTTCTTATCAAGATTCATCCAGACGTGCTCGCCAAAACTGTTCACGTACGTCAGACCAAAGTACCATAACTCTCTGAGACCTATCAAACGAAGTACCTGGATGCAAAGACGCATGCTACAAATTCAGCACATACATACATACATACATACATACATACATACATACATACATACATACATACATACATACATACATACATACATACATACATATATACATATAACATATATACATACATACATATATACACATAACATATACACATAACATGTTATATATACATATAACATATATACATACATACATATATACATTAATGTACATACATACATAAATACATACATACATACATACATACATACATACATACATATATACATACATACATACATACATATATCTTTAGTTGCTGCTTTGAAAAATGACTGAAAAATGGCTGACGCATTTATTGTAGACAAATTTTTTTATCAGAGTTTGTTGATTTGGAGTTATATTTGCAAGATAGCTTGCATAAACTCTTCTTCAAGGCTTCAGTAGGAAAGGTTTGCGATCTAAATAGTTCTGCGCTAGACAAAACCAGGGTTTTGGCAGTTAAAACGACCTTGGGTCAATGTGTTTGAGAACGGTGCCAAACACTTCCTGCGACACAAGATGCTTATTTTGGTCGATTAGTCCAAACGTTTCAATGCGATTAGTTGGAAAATTTTAGAGTCACTGAAAGTGGCATGCGTAGACATTTTTTGATCGTAGGCTTTTAATGCCGCGGTACCTGCCTCAACTGCTGTGAAAGAAATGTATCATTTGGCCATCATGTGAGGGAACGTCATATCCCAGGCCAGTGAACATCTCATAGTCCATGAAAAAATTGTGTCCATCATGCCTCAAATTTCCATCTGCGATCAGGTCTACCGGTTCTTTTATTACCGGTATGGCAGTCTTTTGGAAACAGAACAGCGAACCAGGAAATCAAGTCACATTACATATACAACACATACAAACATATACAAAACATTCAAAGTATAAAAGATACAAACATTTACAAACTCATACAGCACATACAAACCTTATCGAACAACTGCCTTCCTGTAGTTGTTGGTTGAATGTTGAAACTCAATTCAGTGTTCACAGTTTTAACAATAATTTTTGTCTGGAAGAATTATAAAAAAATCAAACCAAGGAAAATATAGCAAATTTTATTTGACTAATTGTACGCTAGCTCTTCTGTTTGGTTAACTAAAAGCTAAACAACCAGCAAGCAGTTTATTCAGCATTTTTGCTAATTTTTTTGACCCAAAAGCTGAAGCTACGTTTCAAAAAAATTTTTATTTGTGAAAAGCTTGCAAAAGTTCATTAGCAAACGTTCAGTATTGAGCTATTTTGAAAAATAGCTTAGTACTAAATTTATTATAGGAAATTAATTGTTTTTTAGAAATTAATAATTTTAAGTTTGTAATGACATTGGGTCAGGGGTTAGGGAACGTCTGCTGAACGAACATTTGCTGACTTTAGAAGATTATCACCAACGACGTCAAGGCAGTTTAAAAATAAAAATTGTTGATATAAGTGATTTGCCGGATTTAGAAGAAACGTTTGTCGAAGATGTAGTTTTAAAATCTCAAATTAGTTTCAGTGGAAAAATTCTTGGTCCACAAATCCCATGTTATTCTAGAGGTCTATCAATCACGAATTTATATTTAAATAACTGAAAACATAATTTCGTTAATTTTGTTTTGATCAGAAATGTATTCAGACTGAATATTCTCGTTAAAAGGTGTCGATGAAATGAAAATAAATTCCTATATAAAATTTGATGTGGCCGACTCCCGAAATAATAACATTCGTCAAAATTTCTGCAAAGCACTCCAAACGAAAATGTAGAAAAAGCAAAATAAAATATGCAAACTTATTCGTCTGCTTTAAAAACTCAGGTCTCCCGACACAAAATACCAAGCTACACACACCAGCGGTTTAGGTTGAATTACAGAAAATCGAGTAACAACGTAGGATCGATAACATTTATAGCATTAAATAACGTTTACTTAATTTTAAATTTTTGTATCAAATTAAAAACACTTTCGTTGAGAAACCCAAATTGTTAGTTTCGTTGTTTCTGGTGTTACAATGACCAATTTAGATTTTAAATTTTTAAATAACATAACACGCGTAATTTGATTTATCTAAACTGTCTTCGATGGTAATCTTTCAAACTGCAAAAAATTGATGCTGATAGTCAATCGAAATTTATTATTGCATTGATCAATATTAACAAATATATGAACGAATGGGTAAATGAATGAATGAACGAACGAACGAACGAAGGAAAGAACGAACGAATGGCTGAATGAATGAATGTATGAATGAATTAATGAATAAATGAATGAACGAACGAACTAATGAATGTACGAACAAATGAATGAATGCATGTAAAAAAAACTCAAACATGTACAATAATGTTTATTTTTAATCTGCTACCTTGACTAATTAAATTAAAGTCGTACCAAAACGTCAGAAAAATTTATTGCGCGTTTGTGGATGTTTTTTTTGTTTGTGTGTTTGTATGTGTCTGTATAAGTTTGCGTGTGTGTGTGTGTGTGCCGATGTGTGTATGGGCTTGTGTGTGTTTGTGTGTGTGTGTGTGTGTGCGTGCGTGTGTGATGTGATGATGTGGTAATGTAACTCAATAGATGATCTTTAATAATGGACTCCAAAAGTTTGTTGCAAACTTTTGGAGTCCATTATTAAAGATCATCAGTTACATTTATAAAAACACTTTACTAGATTATAGGCAATATGTTTTTGTGAAGGGGAAATCAACAACTCTCTAGTTGTTGAAATTGATGGATTGTTGAACTGGTGCAGTTGATAATTGTTTGGATTTTGATGTTATTTACACAGACTTTACTTAAGCTTGTGCCACATCTGTGCCACATCTGCCACATCTTTACTTAAGCGTGCCACATCTGTTATTGATTAATAAGTTGCAAGGTTATGGTGTGAATGATTGTTTGGTTGGAAAAGGAAACGGGCAGCCAAGATGGTCAGGGATTGCAAAGGCTTTTGTTTCTCGGATCGATTGAAGTTTCTTGGCTTGCCAACTTTAAGATTTAGAAGAGTTCGTGAAGACATACTAATGATTTTCAACATTTTGAAGGGTAAGCTAGGAAGAGATTCCTCACCAGCTTTGTGTTTTGATGCGGAGCCAGAGGGCATCGCTATAAAATACATGTTCAAAAGTTCCATACAAATACAAGAAAGTATTCGTTTTCTAACAGAGTGATCTCTATTTGGAACAATTTACCGACATGCGTTGTTGAATCAGATACTGTTTCCAACTTCAAGAAGAATTTTGACTTATATATGACCAACAAAGATTTTCTTTATGATCATAAAATTGACATTGTTGTTTTATTGCTTTTTGTTGTCTTTTAGTGCTATTTTGATATGGGCATATATAACTTACGTTTAAGTTATATAATGGGTTATTCGATCCTGTTTGATGGAGAAAAAGAAGGTGAATCACTACTAAAGCAATTATTACGAATGGCAGCATAAAATGGAAGGAAAAGAATCGATTTAAGGTAGCATTATCTACTGCAAATCCTCCTCAAATTCACTCGACTAGTATTTTTCCAATATAGGGGATTTTATTTATATTTATTTATTTATTATCCTTATATTACAATCATTGCCAATTAATCACATCTATATTAATGTATGCAGATGATATTGTCGTGACGGTGGCGTCGGGCAGGATATGACCAGAATGTTTGAGATGGAGTATTCTCAACTCGCCGATCATGATCACAGGGTAAATCTTGACAAGACAAAAGCAATGATCACTGGTGAGTCCGCTGAACCCGTGGTCCCTGGTCGTGTTCGGTCTGCATCTGCAAAGATGGAGTGGGAAGCACTTCAATCAAATGCATACGACGTCAGCAATGACGTCACAAACGCTGCTCAAAAATTACTAGTTTGCTGGAGAAAGTGGTCAATTTTATCTGCTCAGCCTGCATCAATCTGCGGTAGCATGGTTTGCGCGGTAATACGATTGGTAAAAAAAGGATAGAAACTGTTTCATTGTTCCAATACCTGGGTGATGTACTGGAATGCTTTGGAACAGCTGAGGCCGCCGTTTGTGCACGGATAGGTGCAGCATGGTGCAGGTGGCATCCCCTCTTTTCGGTGCTGTTCAGAGTTGTTCAATTCAGTGATACGCTCCGTATTGATGTATGGTGCAGAGACGTGGCCAATGACAACGAGACTTGAGCGGCAACTCTACCGAACTGGTATGAAAATGATACGATGGATGCAACACGTTGATTTAAAGACCACATACATACGATCGAAATCCTGAGCCGTGCGGGATTATGTGCCCTAAAAATGCATGTTGGCGCCATCGTCTACGTTGGTTCGACCATGTCAAGTTGGGACAATAATCTCTGCCACGAATCATCAGGTGCCTGCTACCCAAACACGGAGTCGTCCGAAGAAGTCTTGGATGCAAACAATACAGGAAGACTTGAAGGCACTTGAAGGCACTGAATCTCAGGGAATTGGACGCAAATGATCGAGAGGCTTGAAGACAGAAGTTGATGTCAGGAACACAGAAGTCCAACCCGACACGGAAAAGAACTACAAACGAAGATTGATTTATTAATTTACATCACAACGATACAAAAATTTAAATCCCCCCCATCATCATCATCGTCGTCTTTATCATCATCAACTTCTTCATCATCATAACAATCATCATAACAATCATCATCCCAGTTATCACCACAATCTTCATCATTATCATCATCATCATCACAATCATCATCCCAGTTATCACCACAATCTTCGTCATCATCACAATCATCATCAGTATCATTCGGGATTTTAACGATGAATAGAATTAATCATAGCAATATTTATTGACGTTTCTTCAGAGCGAAACTTATTGATCGCTACATGTTAACATGTTAACGTCGCTGTTGTCTCGCACAGGTTATAAATTCTAAAATTTCTTTTTTATTATCCTAATTTGATTCTGTAATATTTTGAAACTTTATATATATATATACTTAATACTTTTGAAACTTTATATATATATATATATATATATATATATATATATATATATATACATAATGTTGTTTAGAAGAATAACTTATTAATTAATAATTGAATTAATAATAAATAATTTCTGAGTTAAAGTAATGAATTAATTAATTGTCTATTGATTACTGGATTAATTAATCCATTCATCCATTATCGAATTAATTTATTCATTAACGAATTAATGAATTAAATACTTAACAACTGACCTCTTTTGGCATTTTCGATGAATAAAAATTATCCTACCAAATTTGAAATTGGTTGGAGTAAAATATACTTAGCAGGAGCAAATGTAGGAGGATTACTATTATTGTTATTGATGTCAATGTTTTCACTCATCAAACCTGTCATTAATTTATTTGTTTTGTGATTTAGTTGAATTAAACAAATTAAATAAATAATAATCTGAAATATACATTAAGTTATTGGAAGGTTGAATGGATGGACAGATGGATGTATGAATGGATGGATAGATGGTTGAATGGATAGATAAATGGACAGGTGGATGGTTGAATTGTTGAATGAATGAATGAATGAAAGAATGAATGATTTACAAGTTACTGATCAAATGAAAGTATCGATATATTTTTAATAAAAATATGTTTAAACAATCAGTAACCAGTTGAACAAAGAAACATTATACAAAGTAAGAAACAAAAGAATCAATTACAGCAAAAACAGAAAACCGCCACACCAAAAGCGAATAAAATAACTTGCTAACCTTCAGTGACATATGTTATGTCAACATGAAACGAATATTGTACCTTTTAATGTTGCTGCTACTAAGCACTTCAAATACTTATCATCCTCACACTTTTTACGACTTTTCAATTTGTATTCTGTTTGCCATATTTTAACAGAAAAATCACATATATATATATATATTATATATATATACATATATATATATATATATATATATATATATATATATATATAATAAATTCCACCAATTTATTAGTGTTTATCAACTCATATTCGAATTTTCCAATTTGTCTTAGTAAATTTTTATCAACAATTTGAGTCAGTTTAAAATTGAAGCTTTATTTTTATTAACAAACATTTTTCAAAAATAATGGCAGATAGATCTATTTCGACGTTAAACCGTCATCGTCAGTGCAATCAATCAATCAATCAATGATCCTCCTTTGTCCATCAAAGGATTGTCGAGGCCGATTGTATACATCTAAGCATGCTTTTTACATTTCATTTTTATTTTTTCTTTCCAAAAACCTTTTCTATTTTTGGCCAGTTTTATTGAATTCAGAATACCAACACCTGTCTATTCAGTAATGTCATCTATCCATTTCTTTGCAGGTCTACCAATTTTTTCTTCCAATCTTTTTTCCTGATTAATACCATCTTAATCAATCTGTCTTACCTCATTCTACAACTGTGTCCAAAAATCCCAATTTTTTTTCTCTGACTTTGTCATATACACTTTTCTGTCTTCCAAGTTGACTTCTGATGGTTTCGTTTTTTACTTTCTGTCTGCAACTGATTCCAACAAATTTTAGTAACATTTCATCTCAAATGGTTCCAGTCTGTTTTTGTCTCTTTTCTTTATTGTCCAAGTCTCACTTGCATAGGCAAGGTTGGAAAAACGCAAGATTCTATCATTTTCAATTTTGTTTTTATAGATATATTTCCACTTTTCCATATTTCCTTCAATGATGCAAACATTCCATGGGCTATTGCTATCCTTCTGTCAATTTTTTTGTGCAGTTGTTGTCACAGGTTATAAGACTGCCAAGATACACAAACTGGTTTACTTGTTCGAGTTTTTCTGATTCTATCTGAAATTCAGCATTGTTTCTGCCTTTTCCCGTAATCATCACCTTTGTTTTGTCTTTGTTGAGATGCAACCCGTGATCTTTTCCACCAACATGTGTTTGTTCAATTAACTTCTGTAGACCTTCTTCGCTGAAAGCTAGATCTATATTGTCTGCAAACCTGAAATCTTTACAGTTTTTCTTCCTATGTCAATTCCACCCAATTCCAAAGTTTCCATTTTTTCCATTGTTCTTTCTAACAATCCTATGAATAGTATTGGTGATATGGGATCGTTTTGTCTGTTTCCAATGTTTGCTTTTATCCAATCTCCAAGTCCTGTACTTATTATTACCTACATTTTTGATTCTTCATAAAACCCTTTCAGTACTTTGACCAGCTTTTCTGATGTCCCCATACTTTCTAATGTTGCCCACAAACCTTCATGCCAGACAGAATCAAACGCTTTCTTAAAATCAACAAAGCAATGGTAGATTGTCTGACCTCTACTTTTCGCATCTTCCAGTACAATTTACAAAAATTTGCCAAATTTAACTGTTGTGTTGGAAGTGGCAGCCACAATTTGAAATTGACATCTATGGAAATTTTGTTCATTCTTGCCCTAGAAAAAATATTTATTGTTGGTGCTTTAGTTTAATAGCTCTCCTAGCTATGACTTTTGTCTATAATCTCAATTCTTAATTCCTAACATTTTAAAAGTTTCAGTTTTATTATTAGTCACCTACAAAATATTTTTTTAGTTATTTCTTCTATATGATCCAGCAAATAACGTTTTCATATTCATATATCAATAATTTTTTAGTGGCATCCTAGATTTAAAATAAACAAGTAAAGAGTTGAATCGATTCATTTCTAATATTATAAATTTGTTGGTGAATAAGAACTTTAAAAGTGTGTTAGATAAGTTTGTATCAAGTCAGCAAAGAATTCAACAAGTTCATCAACGGTTGTTTTACTATGAAAAATGTTGAAAAATGTTGAAAAATGTTGAAAAATGTTTTTAATACATTTCATTTGATAGATGTCTGATACATTCATTGCATACACACCAATGAAATCATCACTTCATCAGCATTTATCAAGTTAATTCGGAACAAACATTTGAATTCAAACGTGTACAAGTACAATCATACAGTATATTTGATATGAGCAATAGGCAGTGGCATGAATAAGCATACAAGTTATTGCTTCTATCAATATTTTATCATTAAATCATTAATTGATTATAAGAGTTGAATGAATCAGTCCTTATACAGATGTCTAATGAAGTGCCTGCATGAATTAAAATGTTTTTCAGGTGTTGGTGTCGAATGTACGTCATATAAAATGGGATTGTGAAACGATTATTCACTATTGAAGATTCAGTGGTGAGTAATTTGGAGAATAAAGTTGAATTATTAATGGCTGTAGTTTTGGCAATAAACAGTTGATGTGATGCCTCTAATTTATACGTTCTTTTTTATTGTTAATTATAACTGTCTCAGTCCAACTTTCGAAGTTGTTGTTGTGTGATTTTTTTTCTTTTCCATTGAAACGGCAGAACATTCACGTTGCACTGGCGGCGCTTTTGTATGTCGGGTCTCATTCATCCATTATTTATAAGTTATTTATACTATTATTTTTTTTTAAATATGAGGATCAATGTAAACGGTTTTGAAAATTTGACTGCCTCTCAATATTTATTAGTTATTAATTTTATTTCAAATTAAAAAACAA